TTCCATATGTACACATTTGATGTTGCCTTTTTTTGCCTTTTTTAAGATATTTGCCTTTTTTGCATTTTCTACCTTTAAAAAAGTGATTATAGCATTTAAATTTTTTTTTTTTAAGATTAAAAAATATACACATGCCCATGCAGCTTATATTTAGAAGCGCAGGGACCTCTTGCCAAATTGGTGTTGGAAAAATTCAATGCCGTTTTCTCAGCTAACGTAGGCTTGAAGACAATAAGGGATGTGGATAAAATTGTAAAGGGCGAGGAAAACTCCCTTATTCCTGATAATATGAACTTTTCAAAAGTTCCATATTTAAATTGGGCTCCACTTGTATCAGCTTACGTCGAGCGCACATTTAGTGCATTCAAGGTTTTTTTTCGCGAAAATCCAATGAAAATGCTGCCAGAAAACTTCAAAATGCATCTTGTGGTTCAATGTTACTACAACTATACAGATTAAAGTTTTATGAGTTAGAAACTCGAAGGGATAAAATAGTCAAAGATTCAAAGTACAAATTTTTCATATAAGCTGAATTTTTTTATTCATTCTGAACGTTTGGAATAAACTTTTTCGTTTACTTATTCTTTAGAACGTTCCTGATGATATGTTAACGTATATTTCAAACGCATTCTTTTTATTCCGGCTGTGAAATGGGATTATCCGCAATGTATAAAGAAACGCAGCCATAATGAAACTAGTTCATAGTTTTTCTCTTTTTACTTGTAATATAAACATTTCTAAAATAAATGTATTTTTTGATTGTTCTTCGTATTTTCTGTCTTTTTTAGTACCTTATGTTGCTTTTTTTGCAACACCTAGGGCCTTTTCCTGCCTTTTTCGCTATTTTATTTTGCCTTTTTTCGCCTTTTTTTAAAAATCCGTTCCCTGCTTATTACCATTACTTCGAAAAAGACCCAAGATCCTGACCCAGAGTCAGTTTTGGAGCCATCAGTAAGGTGTGCGCAGTGTGGCTCAGTGCTGGAATTAAACCAGCATTCAGCCTCGGGGAACTCAACATTATAGAATCTCTTCAGCAAAGGTATGGTGGCGTACTATCGTGTAGCATTGAATAGACACAAATGCTCAAATCTCTGCCGCCAGCGATTTCCACCTCCCCCCACTGAGAATTACACCAACATCCGTTTCTTTTTATTCTGCAGGTGACTTTTAAGGCGTCCACACGTATGTGGGCATAAAGTGACGGTAAGTGCAGAAGTGCGTCAGGAGCAATATACACCACTCAAAAAACTTTAAGTTAAATATAGGGGCTACCAAGCAACCATAAGANACCTCCCCCCACTGAGAGTTACACCAACATCCGTTTCTTTTTATTCTGCAGGTGACTTTTAAGGCGTCCACACGTATGTGGGCATAAAGTGACGGTAAGTGCAGAAGTGCGTCAGGAGCAATATACACCACTCAAAAAACTTTAAGTTAAATATAGGGGCTACCAAGCAACCATAAGATTAATTTTCGTGGACCCTGACTTACAACTCGTGCAACCCCATATTTTTTCACACCAACGTAGACCCCCGTCGAGTCTCCCGTGGACCCTTGAGGGTCCACTTGGACCACTTTGGGAATCACTGCTTTACACCACTACAACGGAAGCGGAAGGAAATTACCCTGCAAAAAATGCGACTAATCCGGGATGACTCCGGGAGCAATCGCAAAGGAACATGCGACTAATACCACTTTTGATCTCTTTATATGGAATGAACTGTTCGCTTTTGTTCGAGAATGTCCTATGAAGAGACTAATTGTTCCCCTTTATACCCGAACGGGTACAAATAGCGACTAGTAACTTTAAAAAAATTAAAATAAAAATTTGCGCCAGCTCAGATTCGAACCGGGTTGCTCAGTTTTGTTAGGCGAATACTCTCTCTGTGTGCCAACGCCGCACATGAAATTTCATTGACTAAGTGCGTACATATCATTAAATCGTTAATAGTACCCGTTAGAGATGAGTCGGGGAATAATTGATCTCCAATTATACCCGTAAGGGATGAGTCGAGACTAATTGATCCCCATTAGTACCCGTATGAGACTAGTTGCGACTAATTAATGCCCAATTGTACCCGATTGAGAGTAATCTCGGAATACTCTTTATAGAGATTAGTCGCACAATTTTTTGCAGGGTATGTAAAAGCGCAAAGCGCACAGGCAACACAGAAGACACAATGCCACAAGAAATGTAAACCAAGCGCAGCCATCAAAAATATGAAAACCAAGTTTTATTGATTTCTTAAGGCTCCGTTATGCATACTTGGCATTGCTTGAGCGTTGTCACATAAGGAATCTGTTAAATGAGCTTCGTGTGTAAGCGGTTACCCAACGCACAGTATTACATACGTAAAAGTCTGTTGGTTTTTGATTTCTACGTAAAAATGGTATAGCAGTGCATGCAATGCCAAGTATGCATAACAGAGCCTTTACTGTCGTCCAGTAGTGGTGCACGACAACCAGCCATCCAGCCCTCCAGCCAGGCAGCCTAACAAACCGTGGCCGCGCGCTACTGTGGCTGCCAAGGTGTATTTAACAAGGTGGTGTCGGGGCGACAGCTAATTTTTTCGCCGTGGAGGGCATTGCGTCAAAATGATGTGTTTGTTGTAACTCATACCAATGACAGTACGGATATCTGCAAATAATTTGTTGGTGTAATTTCTTACTTATATACAGCTTGGTGGTATGTATGTATGTGGTATGTATGTACACTTATGAGCAAGTTTGTCAGCAGCTGCGCATTCACCAATTCATTCATTCATTAACATTAAAACAAACAAACAAACAAACAAAAAACGGTTGTTGGAGTGCACAATTTTCGTGTCCAACTCATAATTTTTTTGTTTGTATGTATGTAGATATTGCAGCTTTTGAAAAATGTTTTATTTTAGAACAACTTTCGCTTGTTCACGCATTTTGTTTTGGCCTTTGTGATCGACCAAAAATATTTACGGTGGTTTTATAGACAAGAGTAAGGTGGGGGGATTTGCTTATATTTATTTATAGCATTGTCATTGTTAATGTATACATATATGTACATACATATATGTAATAAATAATGTGGTTGGGAATGTTTTGCTTAGAATATCGGCGAAAACACTAAAAAAATAAATAAATCACTTTTATTGAATTCGACTTGACGTCTTTAATTGGCTGCTGTTTTTTAGACGCTGTTAATTTAGCGTCGTCACTGCGTTCAGGCATCGGAAATGCTTGATGACATCTTTATGTAGTTTCAGTTCATTGCTTTTTAAGAATCAATTCGCTGCGTCGAAAATAGCTATAGTCAAACTGCCGCCACCACCACCACCACCACCACCACCACAGATTTGTTGTTGAATAATTTAGTTGGTGAATGCGATTACTTGAGATATTTTTGCAACGGGAGCGGACTTTATTTTTTAAATACGTACATATATACAGAAAAAGGTATTCATTAATGATACATGTGTGCATACGTATCTATGTATGTATATATACATATATGTCATCCGCGCGTGATTTAATTTACTTCGCTACAATTGCCTCAATTATCGTAAAATAATAATTAAAATAATCGCTTAAATTCTTCACACAAGCTGTATGCACATTTGTTATTTAGGTCTATAGGTATTTTGAGGTAGTGCATACATACATATGTATGTATTTTTGCATTGTTATGGGAATGTATTTCTATATACATATGTATGTATGTATGTATGTATATTTACATACAGTGTTGTCTATTAAAATAAAGTCATCGCTCTTTTTATCCTCTTCAGATCGTTATCAGTTATATATGGTATATTATATTTTTTTTTTTATTTATTTTTTTTTTGTTTTATCTCTAATGAAATTCATTAAATAAATCTACTCTAACGCCATATAGCGATAGCATTTTTGTAGATAGTAAACGACTTTATTTGGTTAGGGCCTGGCAATTAACACCACCAAAAATACCAAACTATACATCTAATCATAGCGGGTTTTGGCTGAAAAAAGTATCAATGAAGGGTCACTTGCATAAATTAGGCATTTGGTCAACGATCTCTGCTGTTTCTGTTATTCTACACCTTCTGATCGAATGAGATGTCATTCCAGGAAATGACAGAGGAACACAGTCCTAATATGCCTTCGGCATTATCTAACTCCCTAACTCCTAAAACCCTAAACGATAGACCCTTAGGTCACCATTCAACCTCACGCATGTTAATATCTACTACTGAAACCCGCATGGCATTAAAACGCCCAAAATTTAACTTCAAAAACTTAAATAATATTTCAAATGTTAGTCAGAGTCATAAGAGATCCGAGTGTCATATTTCAACAGTGCAGCCGTTTCTGAGTGAAGAGAAGTCTCGCAAAAGTTCTTAATTTAAAAAAAAATAAAACTGATAATTTAAGCTCTCATTTTTGAAATTCCTTTTCGAAAGTATTTTCAAACTAAAATCTTTTTAAATCTCTTTCGTCTGACATTGGGATACACATGTATTTCAATAAACTTATGAACTAATTTGAATTTGATTGTTGGATATTTATAAAAAAAAAATTCACTAACTTCAATTCAATTTATTTTTACTTTGTTAGAATATTGTAATGTCGACACATATAACAGAACAGGTATTCACGCATATTCAAAAAAAAAAATTTTAACCAAAATCATTCATTCGCTTTGTATATGAATAATTCATAAGCCGTTTTGAAAGAATTCATGCAGCCCTCTAGTATGTATGCACACACTTCAGCTCATTTTGTCAAAAAGCTGAAAGGAAATGAATGTCCAGTCGTTAAGAGCCACAGAAAACTTAATCAATAAAATATTCACATACAGTTTCTTATATTTTTTTTTCAGTAGCACCAAACACCAAATCCGCTATGAATCATTTTTGCTCACGTTTATTTATATTTCACTAATTTTATTCTTATTCATAGAAGTATTTGCACTAAATATGTACGCATACATACGCGACATATGTATGTGCATATGTATGTAAATTTTCCTCTAATATTTCTAATACTTCAAAGCTCCTCCTTTTTTTGGTTTTAATTATTGTGATTTGTTGTTGCGCACCTTAGCCACTTCATGTAGTTTATATAAACATAAATGTAGTATGTATGTACAAATATTTTATTCTTGAAAATGTGTAAATGTGAAATTGCAAATTTTATGATCCGCTCTGCAAAACGCTCGCGCTCGTGTGAAAGTGTACTGAATCGAAATTAGTGCGAGTACTTTTGGCAAAGCCCGCAAAAGCCAAGAGCCACTGCGCGGCGCATGTGTTTTAACTATGTTTGTACCTACATACATATGTATGTATAAAGGAACATACATACCTATGTCCATACATATGTGGCTAGTGCCAGGCAACAAATGCCGCAAACAACAACTACATACGGACGTGCCAGCAATTGCTACAATAACAAAAGCGCGCAAATCTCATAAAAACAGCAACGGCCCCAGCAACGGCAACGGCAACGGCAAGCCCACAACCCCAGCCGCCTCGTCTCCACGGCAATGCCAAATAACGGTGTTGCTCACTGCACCACAAAACTAACGTTAAAATGTACACAGCCATTGTAAGTGCTCTAAAGTATTCGAATGCGATGTCGCCCGCCGCCACTCCCCTCATTAGTACTCAGTCTGCCCGTTCGTGGGCTTCATTGATTGACAGTTGCCAATAATTAAATTCTAGTTAAACCAATAATTTTTTAATTGTTCTTGCGCAATAACAACTGTCACAAATTCGCATGATTGTAGAGCACTCTTAAAATTTATTAGAGTATTAAACACAAAATTGTTATTAATTTTGAATTATTTAATCAAATTGGTAAAATTTGCGACATTGTTTCAAAATATGCTGTTGGCAACAGCGCCCCTTCTAATGTAAATAGAAAAAGCTTTTTTACTACCCTTAAAAACGTAAAGCGCCTGCAGATTTGGGATTTTGGCACATTTTGGTATTGTTATTGTTGATAAGGGAGCAGGAAAAGCACCTCGGCAATGAGCGGAAAAGTCTTATCACTCTCCATCGTTGCGTTTTTTTTAAGTCGAATTTATGTGGCCTTAGTCGCTCTCTATGGAGACACCAAGCGCTCTGTGCTTTTACAGAGTGTTCTCGCGGCTTCTCCTCTTTTGTTATACAATTGCATATGCATGCCTACGTAGTGGTATCTGTTTATTAGGCTGACAAAGCTTCCGTTTTTTTGTTTGTAAACAAAACCATTTGAAGTTGCGAATCGTAAAGCCATTCCAAGTATACTACAATAGTCGGCTCAAGAAAGAAAATAAAAGATATTTGGTGGGGAAATAGCCTTTTTGCTCTAATTAGTTTTCGATGTCGTTATACTTATCGTCATAGGTGTTTTTATTGTTATTAACCGACTTCAAAAATTGAGGAAGGTTGTCAGTTTATCGCAATATTTTATTTATTTATTTTTTTCATGTATGTTACCGGAACATAGAACTTAAATAATCAAAATGAAATAGATTTCGAAGTGGCGTTAAGTTACGTTAAGTTTCGGCTGTTCAATTATAAGCAACACCCATTTAACAGAATTTTTAAGAGAGAGCCGTAAGTTACGTTAAGTTGCCATAAGCAGACCATAACTTTGGACCACGTGAACGGATTTCGAAAATTTGGTTTATAGGAAAGGTGGCTGAGCGGTGAGCGGCTTATAGCTACAGGCTACAGTGACCAGATTTAAGTGAGCAAAAATCGGGACATTTCTAAAGCATCGGATCCGAACATACAATTTTGTTTCTAGAATAAAAAGACATAACATATTTTATTACAGTTTTATTTAAAACAAAAAAAAGGGAACAAACTTGAAAAATTATCGAAAAGATGTGTACCCACATATGTATATACGGTGGTGAGAATGTAAATAGGGAAAAGACCCTTTAGCAAGTTTTGGCTACTTTGATTTGTTTACAAATGTTTATTATTTATATATTTCATGATCCAGTGATCGGACCCGATTAGTGTGGGACCGCCTGTGAGACACTACCGTGCAATAAGAATTATCGAAATCCGTTCACGTGGTCCAAAGTTATGCGGTAACATACATAAAAAAAATAAATAAATAAAAAATATTCCGACGAACTGATAACCTCCTCCTTTTTTGGAAGTCGGTTAAAAAACACGTAAATCAAAATTTCAAACTGGTAGAACATAAAAAAAGATTAGACGAATTTTAACAAATGTTGACCATTAAACTTTAGTATAATAAAGTACACGTTTGAAGTAGTTTGGACTTACCGTCGATTTTTGGAAATATTTTGTTCGCGCATTTTCTTGCATACGTTCCAACCATTTTTTTTTTTTTTTTATAGAAAAAATGAGCAACACTTTCAAAAAAAAAAATAAAAAATGTAATAATCAACGGTAGGTCCTAGTCATTTAAAATTTGCACTTTGAGTCGAATGGGCTACAAAACTGCATACTCAGAATGCTTCGTACAAATCTAATTAAAAAGCTAAAAATTTTGATGAAACTTTGTCGAATTTGCTCATTTTTGTACAAAATGAAATTTTGACTTACATAGTCTTTCACTTTCATATTAATAATAATAAACATTAAATAATCGAAAGGTGACTATTTATACTTCCATGACTTTTTTTAATGGAATTAGTATTATTTTTCATAATTCCACTAAAATCAAGTTAAAATTGGTTCATTAAAAAAAATTAACAAATCATTACAAAAACCTTAAAAAACAGTGACAGTAATGGAAGACTGCCATACAGCGACAGTTTGTCAGAATAAAACATAACCAAAGATGACAGAAAATAAGGATGCTGGCTATGTTTATGGCTCCCTTATATTCTATGTTGTTTGTGATAACGAACGTGGTGCTGTCACGTTTGTACGAAAAATTGTTTTTGGACCAGAGTGCAAGGAAAAGGAAAACACAGAAAAATCGGAACTAATCGGTACAAATAAGAAAAATCGGGATACTTATACGTCCCGACTTTTCAAAAATATTCAGCTGGACAATTTTCTCAGAATCGGTACTGTCCCGCCAAAATCGGTACGAATGGTCACCGTACTTATAGCATAATCTCAATAGCGCGTTCGGTCGGTCGCGCTCTGATCGTACTTCACTTGCATGGTTTAAGGATATAAAGGTTACGACATTTCGCGAATGAGAAAAAAGTATCGAGTATCGTTTGTGCTATACTTGAAATAATAAAATATGTAAGTTTTCGCTATTTAATGCATTGAATAAATAAAACTTGATATATAAGTATATTCGATTCAGTGTTGCTGACTTTTGAGTAAGTCAGCGACCATTTTTTTGTTACTTCTCTTTAATATCCGGCTACGCTGCGATGCATCTGATGGCGAGACCTTATTGCTTTTCACCGTCGGAACAGCTCCTGACTTTACAGCCTTGAATTTTGAAAATCCTGCAATGTTATTGCGATTGGTACGGATGACGTCACAGCCGTCAGCTGTTTTTAATTAGAAGATGGCGGACATCAAAGTGTCGTAATCTTTAATAATACTGGATCACAAATTTTAGTTTGGTTTTGTTCTCCAGACGCCACTATCCAATTTCTATGAAGAATTGCTCGGTGATTAAGAAAATCGGGTTAATTTTTTGTTCTATGGATACGTTTTCGAGATATTTGCAATTTACCGTTATTCAGCTTAAAGAAAAAATGTGTTCCTTTTAAAAATCTTAATATAAAATACGACAAATGAAAGCTCCATAAACCATATATACATCACTTTCCGATAGGACTGATATTTTCTAACAAATTGATATTTATTGATATATCTGTACTGTAGTGTTTTCGGACGGTACTAGCTCTAACTGCCAATATAGGAGTATTACATTATGATTCTAGCTATATAAAACATTTGGAAAAATCACAAAAATTTTCGTCTAAATTTCGAGTTTTTTAATCTGAATTTTTTGGTATGCAGTTTTATAGTCGCTGGAAGTTTAGTATAACAAACAATGTGGAAAGAAATTTATAATATAAAGATAACCACGAGAAATAAAGCGGGAGCGAAAAGTTTTATTTGTTTTTCAAACAAAATACTTTAACAAAAATCTACCAAAATGAACAAAAATTTACCTTTTTACCAATCCAATTTTTTTCTACCAATTTTGATAATAATTTACCAAAGTGGCAACCCTGTTTGAAAGTAATATTTTATTCCATTTCAGATGGCTATCAGGAACGAGACAATGGCTCAAAATCGATTGATGCGCGAGTGTAAAGTAATTTTGGCGAAGGTGCAGCAGTCAGTTGGAAAAATGACCGGCGACATCGTTGATGAAGGAATAGTGGAAGTTGCAAGCGTACTTCCGCTTTTCACAATAGATGCTGCAATGGAAGTGAAAGAAAAGCTGAATGTGCACGAATACGCCACTGCAATAATAATTTTAACATTCAAATCCAGGTCGAAACTAAGTACCTATTTTTTAAAACAGAACACGCACATACGTACACTGAAGAACGCTTCTGGAGAGGTGGACCCTGTTATGCGCAAATTATTTATGTGTATATATATATATATGTTTGGATATAAATATGTAAGGGACATAAAACATAAAAAATAATTAAAACTATGAAAAGTTTGAAAAGATAAGAAAAAAATGTCATTTGAATAGGATAATCGTTTGGCAACACTACCGGTAGGTTTTGCGGTAATAGCTTGGTAAGATTACCGGTAGGTTTTGCGGTATNATAAATATGTAAGGGACATAAAACATAAAAAATAATTAAAACTATGAAAATTTTTAAAAGATAAGAAAAAAATGTCATTTGAATAGGATAATCGTTTGGCAACACTACCGGTAGGTTTTGCGGTAATAGCTTGGTAAGACTACCAGTAGGTTTTGCGGTAATCGTTCGGTAAGACTACCGGTAGTTATTGAGGTATTCACTTCGTAGGAGTACTGAAAGAGTGGTGACGATTTGTAAATTCACAACAATAAACTGCAAGAAAAAAATTTTCAAATGCAATTCCAACTGCAAATCCAAGACCATTTCCACAACATCCTGAATAGCCCTATTGATTTTCTTTTGGACTTTAACCTCTCTTGTAAATATTGGGAGGCTACTTCCGATAATTTGACGGTACCTGAATTGTTGTTTCTACACACTTAGGCCGAGGTCCAAGTTGCATTAATGCATAGCACCAGCCTCTTTTATTTCTGAACTAAGTATAACTGATGGAAAAGTCCAATTTGCGCAACCACGTTCAAACGCCGAATTGGAACCTTGTTGCGCAAATTAGACAATGAAATTTTTTTTTTACGTTTTTCGTAAAAAAATACGTAATTATAATATATAATATTAACAAATATGTTTATTAGAAAGAGCACAAAAATACCCTTAATGTGATATATGATTTGTAGCAAAAAATGTTTCTGCACATCATATTTGACTAAATATATATTAAAATATAGTTTTATATGAAAAAAGAGAAAGCGCCGCACGCGGAAATTTGTAATAAAAAATCGCGCGATTTGCACCAAAAAAAGTTTACAATTGACTACGTCCACTTTTTCTTTTTTCTTCAGCTCAAAGAACCGTATTATTTATTCGAGTTTTGAGATATCCTAACCTCAAAGTGCCAAAAACACGGTTTTTGGCGATATTTGAGGTTATATTATGAAAACATACATTTTTTTGCTCATTTTCGTTTGTTGCGATTTGGTTTTTCTTTCTCGAGATATACCAGTTATAATGTGTAGTACTTCGGTATTACGTTGGAAGCATGAGCCACCATAGCACGTGTATAGGCTATTCAATCGTTAAATACAAACTGTTATGAAAAAGCATCCTTTGGTTTAAAAAAATTTGGTGCTTTTAGTGTGGTAAAACGCTTTTTTCCAAGTTTTTGGTACTTTTTGAAAATCGATAGTTGGCAACACTAACAGCTACTTTTGTTTTCAAATGTTCAACTTGAATAAATTTCCTTCGTCGTTTGATTTTGTTCTTCCCCCGTAGCGAATGTCATGCATTAGTCACTTAAGAGTCTTGTACGGAAAAGTTACGTCTTAAATGACTTTGGGCTCCGTTTGTATGGAAGTCGTTCATGACTTTTTCATATAAATGGTAATTTCGTCGTTGAAGTCATCTGCATGACCAAGTCATGCAGTGATCATTAATGACATTCAAGCGACAGTGTCTTGCAATGTACTTTTTATAAGTGACCGCTGCAAGACATTGTCTGTTATAAGTCTTTGATAGGAGTACACCTGCATGACATTGTCACCAATGTCATTGTCAGCTATATGTCGTTTAGATTCACAGCAAGTTCGACGATGTCACTAAATCCAATAGCTCAACTTCGCTCTGGCTATTGCAGCAGGCTCAACAGCTACCTGAGTAGAATCAACGAGGATGTGCCCAACCAATGCCCGGCATGTGGAGAGTCGCCACATGACTCCCGGCCCCTCTTCACATGCCCTGAGAATCCCACTCAGCTAACGCCCCTGTCCCTATGGACAGCCCCTGTGGAAGTAGCACACTTCATGGGCCTCCCCCTAGCTGAAATTGACGACAACGTTGATGGATGAACCGCCCCGAACGGGGCTTAGTAGCCGCTGCAACAACAACAACATGTCACTAAATCCTCATTAGTGACGATGTCACCGGTAACCATTTTCGCTCCTGGGTCACTTCACAGGTGCTTCTGTAAATGGGACTTTTTCAATACATATGTAATTGCGTAAAATAAATTTAAAAATACGATCTTCGAAAACGAAATAAACTAAACTCAGATGATTCTACCCATGATAAAAACATTACAAAAATATAGTAAGCCCCCGAATAATTCCTAATGGATATTTACAAGGCAGCAGTCATTTTCGAGTAGATTGACTATTCTTTATCAAAAAGTACAAGACATTAATATTTGCCCGGTGATTTAATTTGTTGCTTATTATTTCTAATTATAATGTGATTTAGGTATAGTTGCTAATAATGATTGCTTGACTTTGTACAAATGTATACTATAACGTATTTTATCTATATTTCATTAGCTAACGTACAAAACTATAAAACTCTGTCTTTTACAAACACCCTAATTAGTAAGTTAATATACAATATGGAACATTTGTTAGTACTGCTGATTTCTCTTTCGCTTTTTTATAAGTACAAATATGTACATACTTACATACGTAAATATGTTATGTTAAAGTTTTCCTGAGCATGTGCCTTATGCCTTGACAGTCAGATTATTTTGAAAAACTCTAATTTAGTATTTAATCAGAGATAGTACATCACAATCTATTTTATCACGTCCAGCTAAATCTTCCAACTCCATCACTACAATGCTTCCGATAACAGCACCGCCAGCTTTACGCACCAACTCAATCGCAGCCTTCAGAGATCCTCCAGTGGCAAGTAGATCATCAACGATTACCACCTTCTGATTCTTTTCAATCGCATTTGTTTGCATTTCGAAGGTATCCTATTTAAAAAATTAATTCACTGCTTAAAAGTTAACAGGAGAAACGATTCTACTTTTCATCATACCTTGCCATACTCCAATTCGTATTCAACTGATATTACTTCGCCAGGCAGTTTACCCTTTTTTCGCACTGGCGCGCAACTTAAGCCTAACTCAGTTGCTATCAGCAAGTTTAAGAGGAAACCACGTGATTCTAACCCAACGATGATCTCAGCATCTGAATATTTTTGTTTAATTTGTTGCACAAGCAATTCCTTCAAGTATCTGCAAGCAATGGGATCGGTCAATGCGCTGAAAATATCGCTGAAAGACCAAGACGTAGAAGAAACATAAGTTGGTGGAACATTAAAAGTGGGTTCAAATAATTACCGGAAAAGAATGCCTTTCTTTGGAAAATCAGGGAAATCACCAATTCTGCTTTTCAGGTATTCCAACTTTTCCTCATTACTCATTTTACGATGATCAAAATTTCCGGTGTCCAATGTAAAATGCTGATTAGATTTAGGGTCAATATGAGGGCAAAAAAAGCTTCTATCTTTGCGTTGGAATGAGATGTTCAATCTAAAACGATTAGCAGATGCAGACCAGACAGTAAAATAAAAACTCTGCCCTAAAGGTGAAATTAGTCAAGAACGTAAACCTACCGGCACCTAAACCCGAGTCAGCTGATACAATCTGACTTATGCCTGGGTTATAATGGAATTAACGGAACGGAGTGAACTGTCACATAATTATCTATTGTATGGGAAATGAATGCAAATGGTTATAATGCACGTAAACGTAACGTAAAACGGAACAATCTAAAATCAATAGATCTTTACGAATTCGCCGCGAGTTACGATTCGTCCCAAGGCGTATTTAAGGCCTGTTTAAGGCGTGTTTAATACACCTTGATTCGTCCCGTCCATTATAAACAAGGCAAGGCGAATTAATTCAAGGTGGTGTTGATGGCAAATTAGATTTTCGCCGAGGTACGTCTTACTGCCGTCCCTAAATTGGAGCGCTAAGCGTTGCGTTATCCATTGTCGACGAGTGTCAGCGCGCGCTATCCCCAAATCAACGCGTCGTAATTTTTGACGTTTTCTCAGATCCTCTCGTTTTTATTCTCGTTTCCTCTTTCACTTTTTTGTCCTTTCTCTTTCTTTCCGTCTTCCGCATCCAACTTCAACACGTAACGCCCTGTCAAAAATGAAAATTCCATTTGCTCGGCGTTAGCGCCGCGTTATTGTGGGATGCTTCATACAAATTGTATGGGCATGAGGATTTTTGACAGTTGTTTGGCGCTTGACGCGCCAATTTAGGGATGGCAGTTAATGTCAAAATGATGTGTTTGTTGTAAAATGAATTCGCCTTGTTTACAACAAACACATCATTTTGACATTCAGTAGTACCGCGGCGAAAATTTAATTCGCCATCAACACCATCTTGTATAAATTCGCCTTGGTGGTGTTGATGGCGAAGCTATAGTACGTCACACAAAATATAAGTGATAAGTAGCATTTTGTACAAACATTTGAGGGTGGTGAATGATTATTATTTTACACCAAATTGCTTAAATACCATTAGCAACTACTTTGTGAGAGTGATCAATTCATGTAAAGAAAGCCTCCCCCAAGATCCTCACCAAGTTTCATGACGAAATTCCTTATACCCCGCTGAAATCTCGATTGGTTCCGTTTTGGAAAGCCAACCCTTGCAACAAGTTAATTACCCTGATTTGTTTATAGTGAGAAAAAATGTCGAAACTTTTGCAACGCGTGGAAACTACGCTGCGCAGTTTTTATATTTTCAATTCGAAATTTGGTCAAAAAGAGGGTGAGGAGTTCAAAAAGATATTGTACTATAGCCCGCAAGACATAGAACTAAACACAAAAATCAAAGATGTTGGTCTCAGCGAAGCAATTATACAATTTACAAGGTAAAGGGTAATGTGCATATTCATAGCAATTGGAGCAGTAAATAAGTTTTCATTGTTCATTGACTTACTATCACTAGCACGTTTGTTGGCGAAGACGACTGCAAAGCGCTGCACACTCAGAAAACAACTCAACTCTTTTATCAGCCCGAAATTGGCTACTGGATTGTAATGGTACTTAATGTGCCGAGGGAAATTAAAAGTAAAGATGGAATCGAAGTCCCTGAATATCGTGGGGCTGAGGTTCAAGATGGAATATATCGAGTTATTTTACGGCAGACCTATAATATGTATCGACTTAGCCAAGGAACATTTCATTCCAGTATGATAGTTAATGGAAAGGAAGATGATTGTTGCCGTGAGCAATTGCAAGGGAGGCTATCCACATTTTTCGATGACGTAAGTTTCCCTTAATTGAGTCTTATTATTGTGACCGTAATTTTTTCAGTATTTACAATCGATGAGGATTCCCGTCCTAGATGTATTGGCCTTTACGCACTCAATACAATATTTACCACTTGGACAAGCACTATTTCTTCGTGCTCATAATTTTATTAATATGGTTCGCGCCACATTTTCTGTTATACAAGATACTATTTTACTTTATGATGAGCGTATTATTTGGTAAGCTACAGCTTCAAGACTCATCGGAATTCCATATACTGTGTTTTGATATATTTGTTAATTTTAAGTTACCTTTTAGCGGTGGCCAAATTGGACCGACTGAATTGTGTAGTTTGCATAAGTTTGTGGTCGATTCCTTTTTCAAAAAATTTGAGTATTCAACGCGAAACACACACAATGGAAGTCCAATCGTGGAAAAATACCATAGTGGGGCTTTTGTTACTGGGCTACAGAGTGTAGAGAATTCAACTGACTTACCTAAAGTTTACCTTGAATTGACCGGGTCGCTTCATTGCTATTACCTGATCATTTTTAGAATCCTAAATGCTACATTGTGCCTCCTGATAAATGGTAAAATCAATGTTTTTCATTTATTTTTTTCTTATATTTAACATTTATATTTTTTCAGCCGAGGAGAGCCCACCGAACAATGATTTCTACAAAGAATTACATTCATATATGGGCCCACAGTTATCGAGTATTGTGAAAGATATTGAGGAAACTTTCTGTAAAGAACAAAGTCTACGTAAGGCAACCACTTCCGCTTCACTTTCCACTTTGACTTCTGCAACTATCGCAGACGACTGTTCGGTTCCGAAATATCTGTTTGTCAACGAGCAAAGCTTAAAACACCTTACGAACATACCTCACGATCATGGACAAATAAGCAAATCGCCGCAGTGCATTCCGGCCAATGTTATCAATCTTATAGCAGATCTCATTCCCTGTAAAGAATCTTATTCACCCTTGAAGGAAGTGCAAATTAAAACTACAAGTGATTTTTGGATTGTGCAGCGATGCTGGAACTCGCGGCAGTGCTATGTGATAATACACAACAGTAAAGCAACATTGTTGGATATAACACAAGAAGCAAGACGAGTATTTGATAAAGAATTCACAGATGATGTATTTTTTGACAAATAAAAAGTATAATCAAATAAATGAAAGGCGTTTTCCAGTTAAATCGGCGTACTTGGCCATGGTAAGATCTCATCTGTTGCGTAGATCGATTTCGGTGGCAAAGAATACAGCATGGTGAATTAGCGTCTCAAGCTAATATTGATGTACCACCCGAGCTCTCATTTTCCGCAAACACCACATTGCTTCCGCTGTTAGAAGTACCATATCCAGCATTCCCACGCGTTACACTTCTTAATTTTACTATGAATATTCGGTGATTGCTCATGGAAATGTTATAACTATGATCATCATACACAATGGAAATGCGTTCGCAGCTGCTTTTTGGCATGAAGTTGTCGTCAACACTATGAGAGAGAATTAAAAAAAAATTGATTTTAATAGATTTGATTGCAATCGCCATTATGAACCTGTTGCATTGGATATTGCAAATATACGTTATACTCTTCAGGTTCGTAATTAAGAAAAGAACAAACCATTGTTTATGAGCAAAAAATATGCCTGGTATTACAAACAAATCACGTGTTATTGAATTTCGTTATTTTTTTGTTTTTGTTAATATTGTTTAGTATTGCAGACCATGTATTAATGTAATACATATCGTCGTTTAAAGTACAAAACCGCGTATCAACAAAATGCAAAACTGGGTATATGAGGTTGCAAATTCAACCCTGAACACATACAAAGCAAATTATCATAATGGACGAGGTAAGAATGAAACTTAACTAGCCAGATAATTTAAATAATAAACAATTTTATGCAATTTTATTTACCAAGGTTCATGAAAGAATGCGGATAAACTGATCAATTTAAGCAAGTGAGGTTATTCTGCTAATTGGCAGTGTTAATATTTAATTGACTTAAATTTCAGTTTATTCAAACAATCCTTACGTACCCGCACTCTGTTTATAAATGACCAGATTCTTTGCTAACTTTCCTCTCTGCATGTTCAAGAAAAATATCGTAAGCGCCATTTTACCTTTAGAAAAAGCTAGCATTCAATAATGTTGTTGTCCATTTGAATCCTATTAAATGTTTGCACTGTTTTAAAAAAACCTGTAAAATTTACCTTTTGTCGCTTACACACAATCTTTAAAGGCGACACAACTCAAAATTACACGCTCGTCAGAAAATGCGAAAAACTATTTCTTAGCACATGCTAATCATACGGGCAAGGAAGACTTTACCTTACGTCCCTATTATGGTTCACATCTCAACTTAGTTAACTCATATCATCGCTTGCGAAGCGAATGATTTTGGCGAAGCGAACGGTTTGGCGAAGCCAATTAAAAGGCAGAGAAGGTATTAAAAGTGTTCGCGATGCAAAGAACTTGCACAAGCTGGTAAAAGCGAACACTCTTAATGCATATTTAAGTTGCGTTCGCCAATCCATTCGCTTCGCCAAACCGTTCGCTTCGCCAAATTCATTCGCTTCACAAGTGATAATACAGCCCTATATATATATACTTATAACATCAACTACTAACTCAACTATTTATTACTATGGTCGTTCACAACTATTTTCAGTTGACTGTAGCCATTGAAAAAGTCGGAAAATCGGTAGAACTTTTGTTATTAAAATAATTAAAAGCAAAAAAATGGAAACNATTTTGGCGAAGCGAACGGTTTGGCGAAGCCAATTAAAAGGCAGAGAAGGTATTAAAAGTGTTCGCGATGCAAAGAACTTGCACAAGCTGGTAAAAGCGAACACTCTTAATGCATATTTAAGTTGCGTTCGCCAATCCATTCGCTTCGCCAAACCGTTCGCTTCGCCAAATTCATTCGCTTCACAAGTGATAATACAGCCCTATATATATATACTTATAACATCAACTACTAACTCAACTATTTATTACTATGGTCGTTCACAACTATTTTCAGTTGACTGTAGCCATTGAAAAAGTCGGAAAATCGGTAGAACTTTTGTTATTAAAATAATTAAAAGCAAAAAAATGGAAACCAGTTACGAATTATGTTTTACCGATGAGCCCGAGGATGCTAGTGCTAGACAACTATGTTTTCAAAGTTGAGTTGAGTTGTCTCCCACAATACCAATTTACAACTTACAACTCAACTATCTTGAAAGTTGTGAATCATAATAGGGGCCTTAGGTTTTTTCAGCAAATCGTAACAAAAATATGCTCCATCTTTTGCTGAAAGGTAAATAAAAGCTCTGTGTACATTCTTAGTGGATAATTTCAAAAATTGCAAATTTTGAGGGCGCTTGCATATGGAATTCTGCCAACGTTGGGCATGACTGGTATATACTATGGGCAACAAAAACACAATTAGCAAATATGTAATGGAAAAATTACCCTAATCCAGTTACTTTAGAAACTGAACGTTTTTAATTATAAATACCAACCTTTCCGTGAGGTGCAAGAGATCCAGGAATATATTTGCACTTCGTTCATCGTTTTCCAAATCTCCACTAGACTCTATGACCGCCCCGTCATCCTGCAGTACCAAATAACCAATTTGGTTGCTCAACTTCTCCATTCTATCTATTAATGGCACCCAAAGATATTTAAAATAAAATATTTTCATATGTCGTCACCCCCATGCCAGAAGCATGAATGTGCAAATTTATCGGTTTTGAGTTATTAACTTGATTAACCTTTGGATGTTCTATGTTATAGATACCAAAACCAAAAATACAACGCGTACCCGGAAACCAAATATTTTACAATTTAACTTGCAACAATTAAAATTTATACAAGTTGGTGTTGATGACAAATTTAGATTTTCGCCGCGGTACTTAATGTCAAAATGAAGGCGAATTTATGCAAGGTGATGTTCAAAGCGAATTTATACAAGGTGGTGCTACTGGCGAATTTAGATTTTCGCCGCGATACGTCTTAATGTCAAAATGATGTGTTTGTTGTAAAATGAATTCGCCTTGATTACAAAAAAACACATCATTTTGCCATTCAGTAGTACCGCGGCGAAAATTTAATTCGCCATCAACACCACCTTGTATAAATTCTCCTTGCCACCTTGTATAAATTTTCCTTGTCATAACTGTTAAGTTGCTTAAATTTAAGCAAAACGGTAACGCTATTCGTACGCAGAAATGTCAGTCGACGTTTCTAGCGAGTAGTGTAGTTCTCGTTGCCATTTTGTAAAGTGCTCTTAAAACAGTCGAAAGTTCGTGTATCGTGCGCATTGAATCAATAATTAATAAAAAAGGAGGCTATCCGGTGCAAATTAAAAGTAAATTGTGAAGATCGAGTCTGGAATCAGTTTTTTGTAAGTTAGTTTAAGATTTCATAAATAGTTTATGGATTTATAGTAAGGATAGGTTGTGCTATGTGAAAAAAACTTTTGGGTCAGTGAAGCACCCGCCACACCCATTATGGAAAAAAGAGATTTTCTGCATTTATTGTCAATTCGAACTACAATGCATTTGAAAATGAAATAAACAGGAAGATCCAGTAAAAAATCAGCTTTTAGGACCAATATGTTTTAAATTAAAAATTCTGTATCGAAGAATCACAATTATGGAAAAAGTTTAAGAAGAAGAAGAATTTGAGGAGAAATCGTTAATAGGAGCGATGCCGACGTAAGCGACGTCATCGTTCTGCTTGCGTCGTGTACGAAGCAGACTGATTTTGTTTTTTGGAGAATGATTTGGACTGCTGTTTGTGTGTTGTTAAATTCAAAAGTCTTCAATTTCAAATCTTGTAGGAGGCATCTGAAAGCAATAACTAATACATTTTGTTTAAATATAATAGTTTTCTGCGTTAATAAATTGGTCAAAATCGTTTTATTACAAATATTATTAGGAAAGAGTTACCACGTACAAAGCCTGCTATAAATGTAGCATATTTTTAGGGACGTAATTTATCTAATTTCCTCGTTATTAAAACATTTTACAGCGGATATGACAAATAGTTTTTTTTGGTTATTTGGGTTTCTTATGTAAAACAGTATTGTTAAATATTGCCAGGTTTATAAGTTAAATTTTTTTTTGGTTATTTCCTGACTCCCTGACCGCTCTCTACAGGCTATTAAGTTTCTTACGGTAAGTTAAGTTTTATCAAGTGCCAACACAGTTTCTCATATAACAGGTTGGACAAAATACTAAGTTAAATAAATTAAGTCTAGACTAACTAAGCTTTTAATAATCTAAAATCTACAGGTTCTACAGGCCAAAATACTAAGTTAAGTAACATGTCGAGCCCCGACCGCCAAAAAGGCGTTAGCGGCATTTTTTCAAAATTTTCTTTTTGATGCAGAAATGTTCCTAGAGCATCCGGATGCATTTCTGCATCAAAAATAAAATTTGGAAAAAATATCGCTTACATCTTTTTGGCGGTTGGGGAGGTGGTTAGCGGGTTTACACTCGTAAGGCGACGAAGTGGGTCATCATGTGATACTAATTCCCGATGACATGCTTCAACTTTGCTTAGGTTTATGGTCCTTTAGCGGATTGAAGCGATGATTCAAAGAGCATGCGCTATTCAACTTTTTGATTGTGTTTGTTATTATACACATTTGTATCTATGTACATATGCTTGTATGGATGTACATATGTACATATGTGCATACATTCTCGTAGGTACACGCAGTTGTACTCACGTTTAAAGAATTCTTTTAATTAAGTTATTCTCATCTTCGGCACCTCTGCTAACTCCGTTCAATGTTTTCGCTTTGTTATTTACACTTTTTTCTCTTCGCGTCGCTCATACTATGTATGTACATATGCCAGTTTTAAAGCTAATTGTTGGTATTTGCTTAAAATTACGTCATTTCCTATTTTTGATTAGAATTTGTGTACTATGCGCTGCATTGTGTCTTTTGTACTGTGGACTCTAGCGTTGCCAAATGTCCCATATTTGCGGGGACATCCCTTATTTTGTATTAAATTTCAAATGTTCCGCCGGGACAAGATTTTTCCCGAATTTTCGGCAATTTCATTATTCATTTCAGTTTGTAAACTTCTACTCAACATGGTTATGCTTTCGCGCGGCTACTGTGACTAGGTCATTAGCAAGAATTATTGCATGCAACTTTGTAAGAGAAATATAGCTAAAAAATTGCAGTTCATTTTTTTTTTTGTGGAGTATCTTGCGAATTTTCTTCGATATAACGCATGAACTAAATTGACTTTGATATGCAAG